CTCTCCTGAGCTGCCAAAATATCATTTTCTTGCCTCTCTCTGCACTTGCCACACTATAATAATGCCCTGATCACATGTAACACTCCTCCACTCACTCTACTCTGAGCCCAGGGAGAGAGGCAAAGTTTTATCTATAATCCTGTCCCCTCTGCCTAAGGTAATGTCTGGTATACAGTAGGAGTTTGATAGATGATTGTTCAAATAAGTAAATATATTTTTAATTACAGTTGAAATCAGACATAAGTACAATTCACTCTAGATTTCTTATAAATTTTTTTAAATCTTAAGAAATCATATATATTTTTCTGAAAATTATTGTTAAATCTATTTATTCAATGATAAATATTTAAAGCTACCCAACTGAATTTAACCCAGATTACTTAACTCATTGAGCTTCCTTATCTAACCAATGCATATAATAACATCTTCTTCGTGTATTCATTCCTTAAATATTTATTAATGTACTTCAGTGAGCAAGGCAATATTCTAAATGCTAGTGACAAAATGGTGAGCAGCTTTAGACTCTATCCTGCTCAGATGTGTGTTTGATGGAAGATACAGCCAAGACAAGCCATACATAGTATGATGAGCATTCTCATGGGAGGAGTCATGGGAGTTATCAGAATGCTTTGAGAATTAGGAGAAATTTATTCCAGACTTGGGAGCAGGGGGTCAGTGGAGCCTGTCTTTCTGATATGTAAGACAGATGGTCTGCATGAGTGTATGTTTACGAAGGTGTATAAGCATATGTGTGCTCTTAGTGGCTAGGGGGAATGGGATTAAAATTAAAGCTGGATTTCCACATGAACAGAATATTATTTTCAGCAAGTAAAGAAGTTTGATGGCTCAGTTTGAAAGAAATAGTGGTGGATTCAAATATCACTGGAGAGATACAGGAACTAGATCACATCAGACCTTATAAGCCTTCCTAGAAAGTTTTGACTTTCTCCTTAGAGCAATGAGAAGCTATTCAGAGGGCAATGAATCAGAACTGCAATTTTTTTTTAGTTACTTTAACTGTAGTGGGGGGACTGGATTAGCAGGATGCAGAATTGAAATAGGGAGACCAGTTAGGAGGCTGTAACTAATAATCCAGGTGACAGATATGTTGATTTTGACCTAAGAAGTGGTAGAGGATGTAAAAAGTAAAAAGACTGGAGAGATTTTAAAGATGTAGATTGACAACCATTAGAGCTTGATTGTGAAGCTGAAGAAAGGAAGAGATGAGGGAAAATGTTGTTTCATATTACTGTCTTAGGCTGCTGGAGGGCAGGAGAGCCAGTGTAATGAGGTGGTAACCTATTTCCTTTGGGACTCACAGAATTGTTTTGAAGATTAAGTGAAATAGTTTATATGATAGCAACTACCACAATGCATAGTGCATTAGAGTTCATTTCTTCAGCTATTTCTATTCCCTTCTTTTCTTATCCAAAGTTGTACTGATAATTTTAGAAGCAAAACTGGGAATAGAATCCTAGGCTTCTGTTTACCAGTCCAGCATTTTTTTTTTTTTTTGTCAATGGACTGCTGATCTATAAACAAAGATGAAACACAAGGATTTTAAAGAAAATATTCACAACTTATCCTGGAATTGCTTACAAGCTGACAGCTATCCAACTTATTTTTAGTTTATATTTAAAATGAATCATATGTTCCAAAATGACTGACAGAAACACAGCTTTGTTTCTGAAGCCAATTCTTTTCCATCATTTTTGGACATCATTCAGAGCTATAACAGACTTTCAGGGTGTTTAAAAGCATTCATCCATGACAACAACAAATGCTAATTATCATAAAAAATAAATAGCTCCTGTTAACAACATTTTAAGAATTTCTCCTACTCCAGCACTATATTTCATCTATCATCCCATATGTTTTAGGGGTGGGAACAAAGACTACATGAAAGTATAATTATCATATATCAAACTGGACAACATAACAAAATAAAAATGAATATAAATGGGAGGAACAGCATACATAATAAATACATTTGGAAAGGAAAAAAGGAAATGTAAATGAAATGGCACATGTGTATCCTACGGTAAACAGCAGATACATGAGTCCAAAATAGAGTCGATACTATCTATCTTGTTGGGTATGAGGTAGGGTTTTTCCCATTTCAGTCCTCATTCCTAGCTATAATCAGATTTCCTTTCACATCATCAAATATACATCGTGCTCATTTGACAAGTTTACAAATTATCTTTGTTGAATTCTATCATTAAAATTCTACCTTGAGACTTCTAAACATAAAAAGACAAGTCTACTTTTATATGTTTCTGAATACATTTCAAAGGAAATCATGCTGCCTAGAGTCAATTCTATCATATTAAATAATCAAGAACATTTAATTTCTCAAAAGTGCTTTAAATTAAAGGAGACAACAAATGGCCAGTAACAAATGCAATTAGCTCATTACAAATAATATTCAAAATATGAATAATCACATGTTCCTAAAAAGAGAAATACAAACTCAACAAAGGTTGGGACTTTGTTTCCTTTCTGGCATATAATCACACCTATAACTATGCCTAGTGTGTAGCAGGTGATCAATCAATATTCACTGAATTAAATGTTGGCATAAAATAGAGCATTAATATGTTTTATTCTCAGAGGATTTTAAGACATCCTAACTCTATGAATAATTCTGTAACTACTCTAAGTTAAAATTATTATTTAACTAATCAAAAATCTTTAAAGTTTTTAAGTTTCTATGTTACCTTTAAAGCAATGAGAGTGGAAAAGTTTCCCTTAAATAGTAATTTAAAGTATTTTAATAAATTCCATCTGAGGCCAGGACTCCATAAAAATATATAAATGTAATTAACTTCGTATTATATATATTTTCATGTTTAAATTTGTCTCAATATTATAATTTAGAATTTAATTTAAAGCAGGCACAGATCAATTACATAGGAAGCTTCACCTTACCAAATTATGATATGACATGATCACAAATCTTATCTCCTTATTCAATCACTCAAGAACCACATGTGTCCATCCCCCAAACGTTGCACATCTTCTCGAGAGGGGAGGGGGCACAGGCAATATATGTAACCTTAACACTTGTACCCCCATAATATGCTAAAATAAAAAAATAAATAAAAATAAAAAATAAATAAATAAAAAGAACCACATGTGTGAAATAAAACTCCCCCCACACACAAACAGAATAGTGAAGAAAGGTGATATGTTCATAAACATTTTGAACATTTGCCAATTTTCTTCCTCTTATGAGGAGTTTTAGTAATAATAAATAAATAATAAATATCAAATAATAAATAAATACTAAATAATAAATAAATAAATAATAAATATCATACTAAGAAATCATATATATTTCTTGTGTATGTGCTATACATATGAAGATATATGTTTTCTGGCCAGCATACACCTGAATTATATTAGGAAGGAATGGACAAGTAAATAACCCATGGATTCCCAATGATATGTATCCATACTTATACATATTGTATATGACCATTCATAAACATAAGTGGATCAATTTGTAACTGAGGATGTCTTAGGTCATTTCATTACATAAGCCCAGAGAAACCATACATAGAGCCTGCCATTCAAAATTTGGCATATAGAACTTTATTAATGACTAAAATGTAATGATTTTGGAATAAAGCATAATAAAATACATTTAATATGTCTAATTTGAATTAAAAGACACATCAAAGATTCTTAGGTTATTTTTAAGGACTCTTACTGATGTATTTCTAAGTTAAAATTATTTATATTCTACATTTTTAATAAGAAAAATAAAATTGCTCTATTAATTTGCATTTAGATTCACTCTTATCTCAGTGAAAATGTTTTTGATATTATTAAGAGTTTCATTGTTTTTCCAGTCCTGTAGTTCTCAGTATCCTGTTCCCCTGGAAGAGTTTCAATCTGTCAACTTGCAGATGATCAATTTTATTGGCAACTGGACACATTTCTGTACAAAGTTCTATATACTGCATGCATGACCAAAGTATGCTCCTGGCATACTTTGAGAGAATTTAAATTCAAATGAATTTCAGTCTTGATGCAAATATGAAGGTATAGTGAAGTTTCCAAAAATAAAATGTTTTTACATTCTAACTTAAATGGCACTATTTATATTGTTGTTAAACATCTTAAAGTAAAATCAATTATCATGCTATCCTAAGCAAAATACTATACAGTTGCTTTACCAATATAACTGCCAACAAAATTAAAACTTCATTTTGGCTGTATACTTTTTAATATTTCTCTTGAGACTTGTTTTTAATTGATAACTCAAGATAACCCTTCATATACAAAAATAGCAACATGCATTAGAAGAAAGCACAGACAACCTCTAGACAGCAAACATTCACTAAAATATTGCTTTAAACACCAAAATAAATACCATTTAGTAAATTCTATTTTTTAAGTCTCTAAGTGGTGTCTACAAACAAAAGTAGTTCTAGAAACTTAAGTATTTCACTGGATATTACATTGTTCCACATTTGAGTAAAAACTTTTCTAAATTTTAACATGCCTCATAGGTGTGAAGTTTATTACTTTTCATATGCATTCTTCACACACAAACACCTAAATGAATGTCAAGGCAAAATTCTGAACTTCTTGGAAAATTTCACTGACCTATCATACAGCTTTGCCATAAGAAACTACCTGGCAGAAAAAGTCTTTGAATAAATATTCCAATTTTATGTGTCATATCATCCCTATCCTTTGTCTTATTTATAGTTCAAACTAGCTGATCCTTCACAGAAAACAAACAAACAAACAAAGATAAAACAAAACAAAACAAAAATAGTACTTGTTTTACAAATACAGAGAAAATGTATGTGATTTAGCTGTTTTTTGTTTGGATATGTGAAATTAGGGTGAGTGTTTGATTTTAAATGTCTTTCTATCCCTTAATTTAAAACAAAACAAACAAGAATACGATAAGAATCTGGAATGTGCACCAGAACATTATCAATATTTCAAGCATAGCCCCAATGGCTACCGATTTCTCTTACCAGTGCTGTCATCATACACAACTGTGACGGTCTTCCACTTGAAAAACTGCACCAGGTCTAAAATGGCGCGGCTGAGTGAAGAGAAGTCTGGGTAGAGACTGACATAGAAGGAATCTTTGTTGTCAGACACCTGGTGCTTCCAGCGGGTCTGTATGTGGGGAACCCCCAGAGCATTGCAGATGGACTGCACCGCGTTTGCTGACGAGCTGTGTGAAGGCCCGAAGATGGCAGCCACCCCGAGGGACAGCTGATCACAGGCTGAAGAGGAGATAGAAGTCTGTCAATAATGAGAGGAGAGATGCTGGCGTGCCAACAGATACCACATTATTATTGTAAACCCAAAGGTATCATCCTGCAGAAAGATTTGTTTTTCTTTAATATTAACGTCTGTGTTTCACGAATTTCACATTTTGTCTGACTCTGAACATTTTCAGTTTATTACAAGGGAATTAATTCATCAACATGCCTGCAGCTCAATGTTCAAATAATTCTATCAATAATGTCAGGGGAGGGATAGAGGAAAAGAGAGAGGAGGAATGTTTTTTAATTTAATGGGGGGGGTGCTCATTTTATTTATTTATTTATTTATTTATTGTTTTACCATAATATGGGGATACAAATGTTAAAGTTACATACATTGCTATTGCCTTCTCGCCCCCCTCGAGTCAGAGCTTCAAGCGTGTCCAGCCCCCGACAATGCACATTGCACTTATAACGTATATATATATATATATATATATATATATATATATATATATATATATATATATATATACCCATCCCCTTGTGCTCATTTTGAAAGGATAGTTTATTTGAAGGGGATGAGAGAATAGCGTTACTTCTCAAATTCACTGACCATTCTTTACATTTTCAAATTCTTAATCAGAAGCCATATGGTCCTCCTCCTCCCCATTCAGTTAGCTGTGGTCACACACAGCTAAATATTTACACATACCAGATGATATAGGTAAAGTTATGCATACAGCCAACCAAACAAAATCTTCAGTGGCTCTTAGGGGGTGATTTCATATGGATTAATCTCATTGAGTACAAAAACCACCAAATTCGTTAGGCAAGTATTCAACTATCTTTATATATTTGTTTTTTGTATGCTATAAGTCTTTTTTTCTATTGTTCTAAACTATTTTTTACAGTTTATATTTACTTGTAGGAAATTTTATTCACATCAATAATAACTGCAGTAATTAAGAAAGGCATAAGCAAATTAGAGGGTATTCAAATTAAACTAGATTGTTCCAAGAACTGACATTCTATAGGGTACACTGATCAAATGTTATTTTGGGCCAGAAAGTGAATAATTATTGGAAACATGAAAACTATTTATCTTTAAATATTTGAAGAACTGGCTTTTAAAGAAGATTAAGTTTGTTTAATTTGACTGGCAAAGGAATAATTAGGACAATTGGTTAGAAGCTTCTCATGAATTTTGATCCAATTTAAATTTTAAAAAATTATAAAGATAAGTAAGAAATGTTCAAAAATGAAATAGTCTTCTCCAAGAGGCAATGGTTCACTCTTCATTAAAAATATTTAACCAAGACAGAGAAAAATTGTTAATGGGATTTAGGCATAAATTGGTTGTTCAGAGTCAATTGCTCCAAAATGTATATAGTTTATAATTCTACTGTGTGAGAATTTCTGCTCTTTTCTCTCAGAGATTTTTGCATAAAATACAATGTGATAGATGAATTCTTAAGCATGGAAGTATTTAGTAATTATGTAAATGTTAGCTAGAAAAAACTACTTTTTCAACATTCTTTAAAAATTCAGTATGATGTAAATAAATTGTTTTTGAATATATAGATTCTTATATTTTAAATAATGATTGGAATTTTAAATCCCTAGAAAGGCTGGCTGGACCCTAGAATTTTTCACTCAACATGGGATTTTAATTCACATAAATTAAGAATAAAAGATCTTTATTCACCAGGTTTTTGCCAAATCACAAACCAAGATAGCTGAAAATGTTATATCAGGTTATTTATTATAGAATATTCTTAGGTGTGTTGCAAATAAGAATTAGAGTTTTTAGTTATTAGAGGAGTCATTTAAAAATAATATATGATTCAAACAATAATTCAAGCTTTAATATATCAAAATATTCATTAATTGGGCAAAATAGTATTACCTATTAAAGGTATAAGCAAAAAATTAGAGAAAATGTCAAAATTTAACATCTAGTTTCTCATTACTTTCTTGTATTGGAAAGAAATAATTTAAAAACATTTTAAGAATGTCCAAATTAAAGCTATTTCATAAACATTAAAAACATTATTGATAAGGTTCAAAAATTATACTGGTTCTCTCTCTTATATTATCTTTTTACATATTGCTGGGCCCTCTAATCAGCAATAGCTCAACGAACAAGAGCTTCACAAGATAAGGTCCAAACCATAACAATCATAAAGAAAATTACTCATATACTTATTTAAGCTTTTCCTAGCTTTGGGCCAAAGTCAATTTATAGATTTGATTCCTAAGGGTTTTTAATGAGTGATATAGCTCATAAATTCTTTATAATATTTTGGAAACCAGATGATTTTGACACCCCAAAGTTTTGCTTGGGCATTCTTAGGAGAGTACTTTATTTGGTGTCAGAATATTATAACCTGTTGTTTTTTATAAACATTGTTACTTTGAAATCACCATGAAGAAATCTGTTAGTATTTCATGTATACTATACTTATATTCCATAGTCTTTGGTCAAAATGCTTTCATTAGAGGCAGAGCTTCTTCTTCCTAATGGAAACAATCATGAACTATGCCACTAATCAAATGCACTTGTCTTGCAGTTAATGACTAATTCTGCAATTATGATGACAAATGTAGTATTTCACAGTAACCTTTAACCTTTTTTTCAGCCTTCAAAACCTTTCATCACCCAGACATGGTTCTAAAATATGGAAACTTATTTGTATTCATAAAGATATGAATTCAAAGGGCATGGAGAATATGGCTTTGATAAACACTAGTTAGCTGCTGGGGGAAAAGAAAGATACTTTCATCTCAGAAAATATTGTACCTAGTCAGCTGCCATTAATATTAATGAGCTTAGAGAAAAATTGCACCAACTTAGAATTATAAATAATTATCTACATTTCCATTAATGTAAGGTAGCTAGTAAAATCATATTAGCATTGCAGGAAAGCAAACATTGTTTAAAAATATGGAGTTATAACAAATGCTTTGTAACCCCCCTCCTTAGAGAAAATCTATATTATAAAATTTAATTCATGTTACATAACACTAACTATGCAAATGAAGAGATCACCTACTATGAGATCAACTATGTACATAAGAAAATATCACCAACATAAGGCTATGAAACTCTCAAAACACATTTACTACTAAATCTGCTGTTTGGTTAAAATAAATGCTTTGATAATAGTTTTTTTCTAATGCCTTCCTTCATACATAAATATTAAATTTGTATTCCACAAATTATTTTCCTATTGTTCACATTTAAAACAGTTACAACATAATAAAAGAAATAAAATGTATAAAGTATTCTAATTATTTCTTTATATAATCAAGTTTTTATGTAATTAGTCATTTATTTTCAGTTGCAAGAAGAAATATCAAGTGGTTAAAAAGTAAGCAGGTAGTACACATAAACTAATGTTTGTTCAAAAATTTCCAGTGAAATTTTAAGATTGGACTGACTTTTTTAAGTCACTCAAAACCACGTAAATTTCAAGGTAGTCAATAAATTGAAACCACAGTAATATTAGTAATAGAATAGGATTAACATTTAATGCTAATAAAGATATAATAATTGATTGCAAACCTTGGTAAAATCCATTGATACATATTATGTTATTTCAGTGAGCTTTTGAAATAAGAAATAGTCAGTAACAAGACAGAAGGATTAATGTGAAAAAAATTTCACGATCACAGATCTAATTGTATTTCATGTTGTAAGCAGACTTTTTGCAGTAAGGAATTGTATGACTTTACCTTCTTTGATAAAATTTATGTGCATTTTGAAAAGAAACCTTTGCATGTAATTATTCCTAACAACTTATCAACTATATGATGGAATTAATAAATCTCTTAAGAATACCTAGAATTTGTATTCTAGAAAACATAATGTTAAATATCTACCAATTACCTTTCTTGGATGCTTCAAAACTGTCATAGAGGTTTATCTTCTGGGTGTCATAGGTGAGGGTAGTATTGGGCAACAAGGTTCTGTTTCTGTTGATTGTGTTCACAGCAAATCTGAATGCAAGTTCCTCAGCTCCCATTGGGCCAGATTCCACATATTCAAAAATACCACCTAGCAAAAACAAAGAGAATAATCACACAATTCTTACAAGACAGAGAAAATTTCCAAAGTTTTTTGTACCTTTGTGTGTATGTGCATTTGTGAGTGTGTATGTGAGAGAGAGAAAGAGAGAGAGAGATTTAAGTGTATGGGAACTATGCTTACTTTTTCTATGAACTTCAGGATATTTCCTTTTAGGTAAATCCATATTGGCAAAATTGCTTTAGTATTGCTGCCAAAATTTAACATGATATAACAATAATTTTGTCTTTTCTCTTTATTAATTATTTTAGGGGCTGGGTATGTATCAATATTGCCTTAAGTATTGAAAATTACTCCCCCAAATTGTGCACATAGTTCCAGAGTAATCAATCCTCTGTATTGATATATACTATATAGCTAAGCATTGGGAAAATTGTATTAAATTTGCCTCCTTTCATTCAGAAATCAGAATTCTTTAGCTCAATTTCTATGACACTTACTGTGTTAAAAGCCCAAAAGATTTGCAAATTCCAGCATCATACATGTGAGAAAAGAGAGTATTGTAGTATTTTAGAAGATACTGACATTTATGAAGAATACATTTCCAAAACAATGCAAATCCCTTAATCAATGAATAACACCGTAGCATCTAATTTTGGCCATAAAATGTGGAGTATAACTTAAAAATAGGTCTTTTCAATTTCACCTTCAATTTCACTGGCTGTCTCAGTCAAGTTCCCTCATTCTTGTCCCAGCTATCCTTCTCTCTAATGTCATTACTCTTTCATCAGCTGAGAGTGACCTACCTGGGACCTTTGTTTTCCAAAGAGTTTCTTTTTTATTGTTAGTTTGGTCAATTGAATAAAAAAAAAAAAAAGGAGCACCTGATACCTAACCCCCTCTAGCCTCTGTTCTTAGGAAACTCGTACTTTAAAATGAAGAACATTTATCTTTCTTTTCAAATTTCACACCATGTACTTTCAGCACAATGATTCATGAATTAAACTTTGAATAAACCAGTTCCCCAGCTAGCAATTCATACTTCATCAAAGGTATTTTGACATATGAATGTCAGGTGACTATACTATTAGCAAACTACCTATTATAAATTAGGAAGAAGTTATAGTACTATAACAATTCCTCTAACTATTAGGACTCAGAAAATACTACAAGGATAAGGCAGATTTACATTCAGAAATAGGAAAATTTGTTATTTGATAGCATATCTGTTTGAAAGCTTTCTCATTCTGGATTTTAATCAATTTGATGGTGTAGTTACTGGAGCAATCAACTTATTATGAAATAGTACTCTAAATATATTTAAAATCTCTTATGCTAAGCAGAAAGATATAAGTATTGATGTTTCTAATGGGTTTTAAGCACCAAACTAGATGTCTCGTATATATAGAGGAGAACAGTGGCATTAGGCATGGGCTCTGAAGCCAGCCTGGGTTTACATTTGACTCTGTCCCTTGCCATCTGTGTAAATTTGAACAGTTGTTTAAAATCTCTGTCTAAGCTTTTTCATCTCAAGAAAAAAGGATAATAAGGAAGGCTCTTCTATAGAGTTGTAATAAAGATTAAATGTTAGGTTATACGAAGCACTTAGAAGAGTGGCTGCCATAGAGTAAGCACTCGACAAGTGTTTAAGTTTACGCTGAATCTTCATTCAAAGCGATCTCAAATAGTGTTATTTTACAGAAAAGAATCCTTTGGCCAAAAATCATACAGCTATCAGCTGATAGAGCCATTAGTAGGATCTGCTCGTGCCTGACTTCAAAGCCTGTTCCACTACAAATTAGTAGTTTTCTCCAAAATTTCTAAAGGCAAAATATACAAAACTTTCTAAAATGTGAGATATGATGACTTCAATAATAAGATGTAATTAGAAGTGTAAGATTTTAGCTATGGAATACAAAAATAAGTGAATAATCATAAAATATTTGTCAAATTAATTTAGAACAAAGAGTCAATTATAGAAATGAAACCCTGGAGTTGTCTCATATTGGTAAAATAAAACAAAAACTGACTCATCTACTTTCCTCAGTTCAAAATTATAGTTTCTATATGATATAAACATAAAATAAAGCTCATATTTGATGATATTGTGTCAATGTTTAACCCAATGATGACATTGGATAAATATTTAGTGTTAGAAAATTAAATTTTTTTCATTATTTATCTCTCTTCAAAATAAATAATTCAAATTTAAATTTACATGTTTCTCATCAGTTAAATATTTAAAGAAATCTTTGTAATTCCTTAGGATAACCCATTTTCTACCTTAACTTAAAAAAATTAATTTTTATTGATCCAAAGCCAGAGTTTAAAATTTTATATATAATACACCCAAACATCTAGATAATGCAAGCTTTTCAGTCAAAATATCTTTCATAAAACTGCCCAACAATATAAACTCAAGAAAAGAAAGAAACCCTGAATAGCTCACCACCCTTGACATGTGTAAGAAAGGTAAAAAAGTCTAGTAAAGAATTGCTTTCCAAATAAAGTTGAGTTGGTGCCGCAAACTTAGAAGGAGAAGAATTATTTATTTTATTAAAAATTTTGTTAAGTTTAAATAACATCCAACACATTCACTGGTCAAACAAGAAAAACAATATAATCACCATACTAAATGTCATAAAATCACTTAATAGATATCATTAATTGGTGACTCACGCCTGTAATCCTAGCACTCCTCCCAGAGTGCTAGGATTTACAGGCCAAGGCAGGCGGATAGGTCAAGGTCAGGAGTTCGAAACCAGCCTGAGCAAGAGTGAGACCCCCGTCTCTACTATAAAATAGAAAGAAATTAATTGGCCAACTAATATATATTGAAAAAATTAGCCAGGCATGGTGGCGCATGCCTGTAGTCGCAGCTAGTCGGGAGGCTGAGGCAGGAGGATTGCTTGAGCCCAGGAGTTTGAGGTTGCTGTGAGCTAGGCTGATGCCACGGCACTCACTCTAGCCTGGGCAACAAAGCGAGACTCTTGTCTAAAAAAAAAAAAGAGACTTTTAGAAACAAATAATAATGACAATTTACTAAGATAAAACCCACAAATTAACAGTAAACATTATATATCAGAGTAAGATAGATGGAAGTTCCATTAAACTCAGAAAAATAAGAATATCTGCAATATCTACTCTTCCACAATATTTATTTTCATTTTTATATGTAAAGAAAAGACACAAATGTCTTTTGCCAATGATGCTTAACAAATGCACCAATGAAGACACCAAAATTGAGAGACTTTATCATCAATAAGCCTCCACCAAAACAAATACTAAATAAATAGAGTTCTTTAGGCTGAAGAAAATTAACAGAGGGAAGCCACTACAATGCTTAAACAAGTAAAGTATAAAAGAAAGTGTAAATATGTGAGTGAATATCAACAAATTTTGACCATAAAAAGAAAGAATAGTAATGACTAATGAAGTTTATAATACGTGTAGAATCAAAGTGCATGGTAACTATAATGCAAAAGGCAAGAAATGCATAAATAGAATTAAATAATTTTAATGTTTTAGCAGTACTGGGAGAAAGGTAAAAGTAATAATTGTTTTGCACATAATAATTCATAATTATTCAATAATAACTCAATAATTTCTAGGGCAAATATTAAACAAATAATGAAATAGCATATGATCAAAAATTAATAGTGAAACATAGATAAATAGAACAAAACAGAATCCATAAATAGTTTTCTATCTACATAGTCACTGATACATAGTATTAGTGATGATACTGCAGTTCTAAAGAAAACACTGTATTTTCAATAAATGTTTCTGAATTACTTAGATGATTATATAGAAAACTTTCAAGCATACACTTAATGTGACAGTAAAACAATAGAGATATTCAAAGAAAAACTCAGGCTAGGAAAAGATTTCTTTAAAAGAAGACCAAAAGTCATAACCATAAAGGGAAAAATGACAGACTACATTAAAATTAAAAACTTCTTAATCAAAGAATTTAGAAGAGATGAATTATCTCACCTGTGTGTGTGTGTGTGTGTGTGTGTGTGTGTGTGTGTGTGTGTATGAGAGAGGAAGAAAGAAAGAGAGAAGAGAAAAAGAGAAAGGACTCATCTCCTAAAAATCTACAAAAAAAGAAAATGCCAATCAAACCAATAGAAATATGGGTTGAAAATTTGAACAAGCATTCCACAAAAGGAGATTCAAATGAACAATAAGCATATAGAAAAGTGATCAGGTTAAGGGTAGCCTAGACAATGAAAATTAAAAATAATTTTTATTGATCCAAAGCCAGAGTTTAAAATTTTGTTCATAATAAACCCAAACATCCAGATAATGCAAGCATTATAGTCAAAATATCTTCCATAAAACTGCTCAACAATATAAACTCAAGAAACGAAAGAAAACCTGAATAACTCAGGTTTCACAATTCAAACTAATTTTATATGTACCAGCCTGACTAAAATGAAAAAGATACATTGGCTCAATCTACTTTAAAAAATGGGTATCTAAGGATTCTACCATGTAAAATACAGAAATTCTGTGACCCAGAAATTTCACTCCAAAATATATACTTCCTAAAATGTGTATATATTTATGTTCATCAAATAACATGTACAAGAAAATTTATAGAACCACAGAAGACATGTATCAGAACTACATGCAACATGAGATGGCTTTCACAAACAAAAGATTAAATTAAAGAAACCAGACACAAAAGAATACTGCTGTACGATTTCATTTTTCAAAAAGTTCAAAAAATCATAATGGTGAAAGTAGTGGTAAAGGGAACATAATGTACTCCTGGGGTGCTAGTGATATTCGGTTTCTTAAATCGGGTGCTTAGAGATATTATTAGAGCTTTATTCTTACAGTTTGTGCACTTTAGTATATGTAGATCATCCTTTAACAAAATTTTACTGTGTTAAACAATTGAATAAAAGTGCTAAGGCCTTTTTAAGTTTGATAAGCAGTATAAAAATAAGGGCAATATTAATAAATGTAGCTTCAATATTTGAAAAATATCTATACAAAAAACATATAAGTATGATTAA